ATCTATCTATCTATCTATCTATCTATCTATCTATCTATCTATCTATCTATCTATCTATCTATCTATCTACATATTTTTACATATCTTTTACATCTATTAATTCCATACAATACTTCTTTTATATACATTTGATTCTCTTATATTTCTTATTTTGTACTATTTTTATATACAATTGATCTTATATTTTCCCGTCTTATTAATTCTGTAGTTTTGTATTTATTTTCTGGTCTCTTGATCTTTTTTCTTCCCTTTATTGTATTCCTATTTTTTCCCTTTTTCCTCTAGCCAATTGTACCATAAGCCCCATTCTAAGTAGTTACTCGGATTCCTCTTTGTCTTTTAGCTCTTTTGTGAATCTGTTCATTTCAGCGCATTCCAATATTTTTTTTTAATCATGTTTTCTTCTGTTGGCGTATATTTGTTTAAACATTTCCTTTTATAATCCTGCAACTTCTTAACTCCAATCTGCAAAAAGACTGGGATAAAGGATCCATGGGAATTCTATTTTTTTTTAAACCAGTGGGAATTTCTCATCCCACTAAAAAATTTGGTAGGTTGAGAAGGGAGATTCTTTCTAGGGCTGCATAGAGAGAGGACAAGTAAACTATGCTTCTCCAGATGATCTTCTAATTGATCATTATGCTTTTGTTCATCTGCTCTTCCTTGCTTCCTTTTTCCTCCAAAGTGATCTATTAAATTGCGACACCCTCCCCCCAAAAAGACAAAGTAGCTACAACACCTTTGGGCAGGGAGTTGGTCTAGAAGACCTCTAAGGTCCCTTCCAGCCCTATGACTCTATGGTTTATCTTCTCCTTCCTCCTCCCCCTCCTTTTTCTCCTCCTCTTTCTATCTTCTCTTCCTTCTCCTCTTTCATCTTCTCCTTCTCTTCCTTCTCCTCCTCCATCTCCTCCTCCATCTCTTCCTCCTTCTCCTCCTCCTCCATTTCTCCTCCTCCTCCTCCTTCTCTTCCTTCTCCTCCTTCATCTCCTCCTCCTCCATTTCTCATTTTCTCCTCTATCTTCTCCTTCTCTTTCTCCCCCTCCTTCTCCTTTTCTTCCTTCTCCTCCTCCATCTTCTCCTTCTCTTCCTTTTCCTTCATCGTCTCCTTCTCTTCCTTCTCCTCCTCCATCTACTCCTTCTTCTCCTCTTCCTCCTCCATCTTCTCCTTTTTCCTCCCCTCCCTCTCCTCCTCTTCCTTCTCCTCCTCAATCTCCTCCTCCTCCGCTTCCTCCGCCCTCTCCATTTACTCCTCCATCTCCTCCTTCTCTTCCTTCTCCTCCTTAATCTTCTCCTCCTCCTCTTCCTCCTTCTCCTCCTCCTCTTCCTTCTCTCTCTCCATCTGCTCCTCCTTCTCCATCTCCTCCTTCTCTTCTTTCTCCTCCCCCTCCCGCTCCTCCATTTCTTTCCTCTCCTCCTCCTTTGACCATGATGGTATAAGGCCTCCTGCTTTGAACAGGAGGTTGGACTAGAAGACCTCAAATCTCCCTTCCAGTCCTATGATTCTATGACCTTCTACTGTCCTCCTCTGGAGTGACCTGTCACATCTCCCACAGTTCACAAACAAAGCTCTCGTGGTCCTGCAAGAAACACAGATCTTCTCGTGTGGAATTGGTCCTCTGCCAGCCTGACTGAATCCAATGGCTGGAAGGGACCTTGGGGGTCTTCTAGTCCAACCCTCCAAGGACCTGCTCCTCTGACACCACCACCCCATCCAATTCTTTCCTTCTGACTGAAACCTCTCACCTATCACAAACACAATCTTGGGACGGGGGCGTTGGGGGTCGAACGCGTCGTATTCTTGGATGAGTCCCGCAGATTCGGTCATATCGGAATCGCTCTCGATGGAGAACTGGCTCTGCACAGAGGATCCGTCCTGGTGGAAACTGAACGGAGCCGAGGAGGAGCCTGCCAGAGAGAAGGAAGAACTCATAGCCTAGTTGGGAAACTCCTCAGACAATGTGAGATGGACAGGACTAAAAAAAAATGGAACAAGATATAATCCTTAAGGTACCAGCACAACGGTGAGGGTGGGGTGGGGGAGCAGGATTTCTGTTGCTCAACAGAATTGCTTCCGTTCAGCGAGCCGGTTTTGCAACCTTTTTATTTTCTCTACAGCTAAGTGAATCGCAATGTCATTAAGCGAATCGCTGAGGTTGTTAAGCAAGCCTGGCTTTCCCCACTGATTTGGTTCCGCTGGGAAGGTTGGAAATGGCTCCGGGACGCTGCAACCATCATCGATAGCCATCCAACCCCCAAATGCTCAAATTTTGATCAAGGACAAGGAGTGGTGCGGTGGCCCAGAGGGGGAGCTCTCGCCTCACCATCGAGAGGCTGTGAGTTCGATCCTAGGTAGAGCCAGATATTTCTCTCTTTCTGGGCACAATGAGAATGTAACTGCCGAACAAAACTCCGCATTGGCGACAGGGAGGGGCATCCGGCCAGTAAAACACTCTGCTAGCTCCATTCAGTTGCCCAGACTCCACCCTGCGAGGGATTATGGGGTCATTACAAGATGATGATGATGATGACAGATAGTCATCGATTTACAACCGCAATTCAGCCCAGAATTTATGCGGCTAAGTGAGAAATCTGTTAAGTGTGCTTTGTCCCAAAGGACCTCTGTCCCTCTCTAGGAGCTGGAGACACCATGGATCTCAGAGGGAAGGACTCCTGGGGAGACATAGTTCTCCTCCCAAGATCCTGTCTCTCTCCAGAAGCTGGAGACCATGGATCTCAGATGGAAGGGTGCCTGGGGAGACATAGTTCTCCTCCCAAGATACCAAAGGACCTTGTCCCTCTCCTGGAGCTGGAGAACCCCATGGATCTCAGAGGGAAGGATGCTTGGGGAGACATAGTTCTGCACCCAGGACTCGAAAGGACTTCTTCTCCCATCCTGGAGCTGGAGAACCCCATGGATCTCAGAGGGAAGGACTCCTGGGGAGACATAGTTCTCCTCCCAAGATCCTAAAGGACCTCTGTCCCTCTCCAGGAGCTGGAGACACCATGGATCTCAGAGGGAAGGATGCCTGGGGAGACATAGTTTTCCTCCCAAGATCCTGTCCCTCTCCAGAAGCTGGAGACCATGGATCTCAGAGGGAAGGGTGCCTGGGGAGACATAGTTCTCTTCCCAAGATCCCAAAGGACCTTGTCCCTCTCCTGGAGCTGGAGAACCCCATGGATCTCAGAGGGAAGGATGCCTGGGGAGACATAGTTCTGCGCCCAGGACTCGAAAGGACTTCTTCTCCCATCCTGGAGCTGGAGAACCCCATGGATCTCAGAGGGAAGGACTCCTGGGGGACACATAGTCTTGGACTTCCCCTTGTCAGGTCAATCTCAAAACCCACCACCTGTAGAATGAGCATCCACCTGACTGGAAGATGGCATTCTTGTTTAAGCCCTCAGCGGTAGGTTGAAGGTCTTCTTGTCTGAGGAACGTGTCCCATTGCAGCTTCTCCAGACCACCCATCGCCCGGACTTTCTTCAAGCATCCTTCAAGGTAGCCGATGGGATCTTCAGGCCGGTAATACATCAGGCCTGTCAACATGCTCTGGAGGAGGAGGCAATTGAAGAATGAATGGAGAAAAAAAGAAGGAAGAAAGGAGGAGGAAGAATGGAAAAAGAAAGAGGAGGAGGAGGAAGGGAAGGAGAGAGGAGAGGAGGGGAGGAAAGGGAGATGATGAGGAGGAGGAATGGAGGAAAAAATGAAGAATGGAAGAAGACAGGAGGAGGAAGAATGGAAGAAGAAAGAGAAGGAGGGGGAAGGGAAAGAGAGGGGATGAAGAGGAGGATTTCTGCCTCCAGAAATTGTGGGCACTTCATTACTGGAGGTTTTTAAGGAGAGACTGGACAGTCGGTTGTCTGAAATATTTTATAGGTTCTCCTGCTTGAGCAGGGTGCTGGACTAGAAGACCTCCAAGGTCCTCTCCAGCTCATTCCATTCCATTCCATTCCATTATATTTTCTGTTCTATTCTATTCCATTCCATTCCATTTCCTGTGAGGCTGTTAAGATACAGCCGGTTGCCTTCAAATGGCTTCTACTGTACTGCCGTAAAATGGATTCTACTGTACAGGGCAGTGGAGTTGCCATGATAATGGCTTCACGGTACTCCACAAGGGGGCTCCCTCTGGTAAGGGAGAAAATCCAACATTAGAAATTATGTTTGATCCGGACATTTCCCCCCTATAACTATAGGGGTTATCGGCTATATTCCCCAAATGGGGACAAGAAAACCATTCTGATTGCACTGGATATACTTCAGAATAAAACAGGACCACCAATTTAACACTATTAGACTTAGAGTAACATTATTGCCAGATAAATAGATAGATAGATAGATAGATAGATAGATAGATAGATAGATAGATAATATCGATAGATAGATAGAGATAGATACATACATAGATAGATAGATGATATAGATAGATAGATAGATAGATGATAGATGGATAGATAGATTAGATAGATAGATAGATAGATAGAGAGAGAGAGAGAGAGAGAGAGAGA